AAAATATACGCAAACTTAGTGATAGATTGTAGCCATCGACTGACACTGGTCTCGTACCATTGTCGTCCTTCATCGGGGCTTTAAATTTTTTCATACCCACTGGTGGTAGCTTTCCCTAGATTAGTGTCGCCTATGACATCCTCCTTGTTTGTGCCGCTTCCTGCTAGATTTGTGTTGTCCATGCTGTCCTTCATGGCACCAGTTCCTCCTAAGACAGGCTTTGTCCAAAAATCATCTGGGAAAAGCTCTAGTGGTTTCATGCAGTACAAGTGCAGTTGCTTATGTAAGAAACTGAAGCCGTTATGTACTACATATATATTCAAATGATTTAACTCCTATATCATTATGGGCTCAAAACGCGTCCCAGTAACACAAATAATTAAAACATATACCACTGTTGTGCTGCATGAGTTTTGATATCATGTATTAGAAACAATTTCAAACAATCAGAACTTTATTTGGTAAACTAATACATTAATGATATTGTCCACTGAGAATATATCATAAATAAAAATTTGAGCCAATTACTCTTGGGGATTTTTTTGGGAGCTCCACTTGTATAATGATATACCTTTTGCGTCCTGCGGTTGAGCTTCCATGCGTAGCTCCTTCCGACCCTCTAGAATCATGTGCACCATTAATAAATATCCTTGTGCATGTGTACCCCATACCTCGATAGAAAAGGCAACAACAACCCACTTAGACTACATCTTAAATATAGCTTCATACCTTGATTGGTTGTGCATCTTGCCTCATCCTTGCTGTGTCCTTCACGTGAGAGTCGTGAAGGACCAATTCCCTTGGAGTATGCCTCTAGGCTGTTTGGGACATAAGGACCAGTGAAAGACATGGATTGGATTGCTCCAATAGATTCTGCAGGTTCATTAGGCATAATGTATCCTCTCTTCACACGGACACTCCTCCATTTGTTATCTGATGGTACTGGTAATCCAGATGCCAACTGTGAGGCGCTATGCTTTTGTTGTGGCTCTAAGAGATGCATACTTTGTCCAGTTTCAGCATGAATATACACGTCATGAAGCTGACAGTTGATGCCAACTCTAACAAAAATGGGAAAAAGTTCAGGCCCAACCGTAACAATGAGTGCCCTTACATAGTCACGGCTGTCCCTGGTAGCTTCAACACATTCCATCTTTTCAAACTTATAGAAATAATCAAGAATGCCCTTTACATCATCCCAACCCCAACATTCTCTAGGCAATCCGCTTATCCTCACCCAAAACCTTTTGCAGCGTTCCATGTGCTCCTATATTCTCCTCCCATCTCCTCACTACCAAAGCATTATTGGAACCAAATAATACCTGCCCAATTGCAGCATTCTCTAAGATGCTTATGGATGGAAACTCGATGAGATAAGTTCTAGGACCTATTGGAACTGCTTTCCAAGGGTACTCAAAATTATAGACCTCCCGTAGTATGCCTTGAACAACCTCTGGAGTGGATTCCGAAGGACCCAAGGTTGATGCAATTGCACATCTCTTTAGTGTGTTTACTCTAGCCTCACGATCTTTGCTAGGCCCTAGCCAGATGAACTGAGGAAAATAAATAGAGTGTTGTTTACCTCCATGTTGAAATTTTGCTGGAACGCTCACCAATCTAGCGCACTTAGATTGTTCTTCTTCCTTCCTTCCACCCTCCATCCTTGTAATTTTGTTGGCGCTATGGCTGTTTTACCGGCCTTCAGTGACTTAAATATATGTGGGGAATGACCCTTCTACATGTCTGAGCCATGATTTGTATGCTCGAGCGGTTCAATTTCCCAGAGCAAACTATTGCCGAACAGTTAGAAGGGTACTGATAAAGGTGCCTTATATGCAATTGGTTGTACATGACCAGTTGCTACACCAGCCTATTTTACAAAGTTGCAAGGACATTAACCAAAGGAAGATCTGCTGGCATATGGTCAAGTGCACCTCTAACCTTGTGCATGGGCCACCGAAGTGCGGAGCCTCATAGGTCAACGCCGGAACCTTAGGCGTCCAACTACCCCTACAATGCCACCTCACCATCGCCCAACTGAACAATCAGAACTAGACCAAAGGGAACACACTAGACAAATAAGTGGAGTATGTAAATTTAGGCCAAAATGTTGTAAGGTTCGTGGTTTCCATTGTTTGGTAAAGTAGTGTTATGAGGAGGACATCGTTAAAAAGAATCCCTCTATAAAAGTTTGTCAGAAGGGCTGACCTCTTATGAAGAATTAGTTGATTTGAACAACATCGGGAAGTTCTTATGAGTAAGGAATTCTACTTTATACCACTAATAAGGAGGAAAACAGGATAGCAAGATAAGAATAGGCATTGTTTGACCTCTGTAGTCACGACAGCCGTATACTATTTGGCCATCTTATGGGCGAGCAATGTACCCCTTGTTTTTCCATACATCCAGCACACTTATGGATTCGCTAGGACATATATGTGATTATCTAGCTACCATCAGTTTTCCATCAACTGTTTGGGTCCCTGTTCGTAAGCAGTTACCTTGTAGTTGCATGGTAGCAGTGTTAGCCCGAACAACCATGCCATTCCAAGGCAAGGTACACTAGTCTTCCCTATTCTAAATAGCGGCCTTTGCTTGCAGGCACACATCAACTATTCAACAATAGTTATATGACCATTGGCTTGCATCCTGCCTTTTCTATACTGTTGTACGAAATGCATATATTAATAGAAGAGAGGCGATAGGGATGGATTCGGATCAGAGCCATACGGATACGGGTGCATACACCACTGTTTACCATACTTTAATTTAAATTCAAATACGAGTACGTATATTGTTAGATACAAATGCAAAACGAATATCTCGAATTCGGATATCTACTTGATTTTGAGGATGACAAGTATCTATTACTTATCGATAGTTTAATAGTATACTAAAACCATAATGGATAGAGGGATTTAAAACATAGCTATATAACACCATGCACAAAGACAACTATAGAAAATAAAATAATTTAATAAATATTCTAATAATTAAATATATAAAATATAAGACAATTATAAATATTATATATCAATTACTGGATTCAAATGAATAAAAATAAATTCTACAAGTATATAAACAAAATAAGATACTAATTAATATGATTAGCCATATTAAAATTAATTAAACTTAAGATTTTTTATATCGTTACTAAGATAGTACCGGCTTTGTCACATTTTGTCGAATACGAACGTGGAATCAGATAGAGAAAAATCTTCAAAAGCAAATACGGATGCATCCATTTACCATTCATATTTAGGTCGAGTACGAATACGGATATCCATATTTATACTAAATGAATACGGATATCGGATCTTTCGGATATCTAGAAATCTTGACGTCCACATCCATCCCTAGTCGATACCCGATAAAACACCTGACAACGACATTTATTACTATAAAATATTTGTAGCACGCAATCGTTAATAAGAAGACCAGTCTAAGCAAGGAAGATTATTATTTGACTATTTGCGGTTGTTCAATACGCCAACCCTCCCCCCCACCACACACACACAATGTTTGGCTATAGTCATGTTTTATTTGTTCTTTAGCTTTTCAGTACTTTGCAGTGAGCGGAACTAGCAGGGGCCGTGGTCCCCCCAATCCAGTAGAAATGTTTTTAATATCCCTATAATTACTGTAATTTATAGCATATTAAGACATCATTTTACCCATTTTGTATCATAATATCATGATTTTTTGTTATCGATACTAATTACATATATAAAACATTGAAAACAATTGGTGAAACATACACTCATGTATGTATTTATCATACTTAGAGGTGTCATCGTATTTCTCCAAATTTCTTCTTAAACAATGTCACCGGTTCCGCCAATCGGTACTTTGTGCACAACAAATTGTCCTGTAGGATGCTTGTTAACTAATTTTGGAACTATAAACATCCTTGGCTAATTGCGCTTGAATCATCTTTGGGTGGCGAGGAGCCACAAAGTATCATTTAATGATATAAATAATCGACCTGTGCCTATTCATCTTTTTCATTCTAATCCCATGTGACAAGGAATAGCTGGTGCATTTATACGAGGATAGAAACTTAATGCTAGAACTGCTATAGTTACTGCTCGAGCTTTCAAACTGAAGGTTAAAGCTTGTTTCCTTGATAAAAAAGGTACTTATTTTTGTAAGACACGTGCATGTGTGAAAGTAAAAAATTTTCACTCTCTTTGCCTCGTGTTGCCTTAGATGACAAATCATCTACGGATAACAGACAACCATACAATACTAGCATTTTCTGATAGTTCGTACCTATGCGTTTGGTCAACACCAGGGGCATCCACAGGATTGTAGGAGTATCTAGCTTTTCCAAATATATGAGTAGGCGATGTGGGCGTGCTTCTAGGATGTATGCATGCGCCGATTGGCTACCAACATGCATGCATACGAGTATCAAAGCTATCTAGCGGTAGCAAAGCAAGCATGCGTAAGGTAGGCCACCACATGTGTTGCTAGAATCGATGCTCTTCTTGCTTCTTCGTGTCGAGCATCTTGATAAAAGTAGCGATCAACAAAGATCCTTCCGCTTTCCATCATGCATGTTATTATCAGAGACCAGCTTTTGAGTCCCTTTCCTTTACCTATCACCTAGGTACATGTCCTTTGCATTTCCATGCTTCTTTGTTTCCATTAGTTCATTCTAAATGAGGGTTATTTACAAATTAGAGGGGAATCTATCAATGCATCGTACAACAAGGTAGAAGAAAGGGTGTTATAGAGCTGGGTACTTCGATTTTCAACGAATAAGGGAGTATATGGTACTAATATGCAAATAACCATATGAAGCATTGCCATTAACATCCATGCTACAAGCAGTAATAAGTGGAAGGTTTCCAGATCAAATATCAATACATTTTCGAGTCATGGAAATAATAACCCATACTATAACTAACATGGTACCACTCGCATATATTAAAAGATAGTTCAATTGGATTTATTTAATTACTTACAAGAACTCACATGGATAGCTAGCGTTGGCGTTAGCTATGTAAAAACTTATCCACAATAGCAATTGCAGGAGAACTCACATCGCATTCCCATGATATGTCCTCCGTACTATGGTCTCCTCCACTTAGATGGCAGCGTATGGCTTCTGTAGAGTCCACCACACACATAGGCCAGCCCCAAACACCAGCGATATGGCGAATCTTTGTAGTCTGTGATTTTGCAAGGGCTTTTGTATTTGCTTTCATCTCATCTATGGAATCAGAAAGACTCATGCCTCCACCAAAATATTTGCTTAGTTCTCGCACACCAATTGCCTTAGCCAGCCCAGTGTGGTTACCAATCTTATGAGCCAGCGTAGTATCAAAATACTCTTTTAGTTCCTCAACTAAGCCAAAAGCAACCATATCATCAATACGGCGACACAGATACTCATTAAGAGCCAGCTCATGAGTATGGACCCAAAGTAGACAACTTTTGAACCTTAAATTTGGCTTATACTTTGCTATCGAAAAAGGATTGGCAAGGGAGGGTCAAGGTGGTCAGCAAGAAATCCATGCATAAGTGAGTTTGACCCACCTACCAGAACTGGAACTCGACCACACCTTGCAATAGACTCCGTAGTAGTTGTTGCAATAGATCGAAAGGAAGGTACATACACATCATCCGCAATTGATGAAATAACCCCAATTAAGTGATGAGGAATACCACCTTGATCATTCGGCCGGATCTTGTTAGTTGCGATGTCAAGACCAGCATATATTTGTATCTTGTCCGCATTTATCACTTCACCACCAGTGGCACCCATGATTACCACCGGTTTAATCGACAACATCTACGAGATGTAGTTTGATCCTGCAGAGGTGAGGGGGGATGGGGGTGGAGTGGTAGAGGGGAAAGTGCTTCTTGCCCTTTAAACCCTAGGTCGACCAGCCCATGTATATGAAGAGTCGATGGTGTAGTCGGGCAAGAAGAGGGGATGGGGGTAAGTGCTGTGAGCGTTGGTAACCTAGGTCTGGCAAACTAAATAATGTACACTAGCAGGCATTCCTATAACTACTTATGTACTACCATGGATACACTTCGCAGAAAAACTTAATTATGCACATGTATGTAGTAACGTAATGCAAAGATGTATGAGTACAATATAATATGTATCATATGTATGTGGACAAATCCATAGGTCCACATGTGTGGCGAATGGAAGGAGCTTCCTCTAGACAATCAAAGAAGAGGCAACCCGGCAAAGGAGAAGCTGAAGTGTCAGGTGCCTGCACATATTTCTTTACTTTCTCATCCTCTCATGTATTTGTGCAAAAGTCATGTTCTGCCTATAATCAGTTCGAGGACGTCATGACCATCTCCTTTCCATTTTTTTCATACTCTTGCTTGCTAGATCTCTTGTTATCATCTCTAATTGTAGGTTACTTTGCCCCGTTCTGATGATTTCATTCTTTGGACATTTAAGGGACATGCTCCATTGTAGGTAACATTGTGCCTAGTTTTGTTGTCTTTGTGTGCTCATGTTATGCCTACCACTGTTTTGGCACGCTCCCACACAACCTGCACAAAGGCACGTGCATGCCCGTGAATAATGGAGAATGACCCTTAACCAGGCAACAACTGCTGCCACAGTGTTACCTCACCATCGTTCATGTCGTGTGTGCCTACCATTGTTTAGGCGTGCATCCACAGGAACTACGCAAAGGCACCCGCGTGCCTGGAAATAATGGAGAATGCCCTTGAAGTGCCCAACAACTACTGCCACAATGTCACCTCACCACCGCCCTTGGCACTACACGACATCACCCGTGTCGACGCCACAATCGCTCGCATTAAATGCGGTTCTTGCGCTGCTGTATACAACTCCATCCTTCTAGCTATAAAATTTGGTACCTCAGAGGTCTTCCATATCTCAAGAGGTAACACATCCTAGCTCAACTTCCTTCCCATCGAGTATCATCCCTCTCTCCCAATTTCTCTGCTCTCCTATAGGAATCCAGCGGCTACAACGGCCTTCCTCTTCGTCGGTGTCCTTAGCAAGGTGAGAAAACCATGACCATCTTTATGAAATGTTACCCTCTCCTATATATTACAAAAATGACTTACCCTCCTTTTCCTTGCAGATGGCAGATGAAGAGTGGACCACTAGCTACTGCTTGAACAAAGATGGTTTTCCCAAGCTCCTATATGCCACCATGTCCAGGATAGGTCTTTTGGATCACCCAGAGTATGTAGGTAGAGAATATGAGGAGTATGGCACAGAGCGGTGCGAGGTCATCATCTATGTTGGAGGAAGTAAAGATTTCCCCAGCATAGGGTCGTGGGTGGTTTCTACTATAGGGTTTCGGTTAGAGGACACTTACCAATCTGTCGCTCGCAAAGCTTTGAGGTACCTATGCCAGATTTATGAGAGGCCAATATGTCGTACACCCATGAGATTCTTCCCCCTTTAACAAGAGACAGTCCTGTGTAGGTAGCCCAAATGAGGACCCTCGAAGGCCCTGAATTACGTGAAAGTGACCCAACTACGGTGTTCATGTCTACCTACCTGCTTTCCCTAGATAAACAATTGTAACACCCAAAATATTTCATTCTTTTAAATTAAGTAAATTTGATTTAATTATGTTATTAAGTGTGCACTCAATTATAGGAAATTAATAATTTTGGGGAATTAAAATAAATTATAAGATTTGAAACTTTTGATGCATACATGCTGCTGCACTATTTATTCATGTGATGATTTTTCTTAAATTAGTGTTCAAATGAGTTCAAAAATAATTTGAAAATGCTTTTGGGAAAATTTGTTGGAAAATAAAAGGAAAATGATTTTCTCCTCCCTTCCTTGATTCTCGGCCCGCTCCTCCCGCCAAAATTGACCCCTCCCTCTCCCTCCCCTTCTCCTCATTTCTGGCCGAGGCCCAGCCCGAAAGCAGTCGCGCACAAATCCAGCCTCGGCCTCCCCTGGCGCCCCACGCCCACCTCAGCCTTGGCCAACCAAATCAGACCCAAGGCTGCTCACCTCAAGAATCACACCCAAATACCACGACACACGACACCCGGCCCCTGTCACACTCCCCACCTTCCTCCCAAGAATCAGCGGCATGTCAAGCCAAGAATCAGCAGCATCCACGCTGCCATGGGAGAGCCCCCTCCGCCTCCTCGGCCTTGATAAATAGGAGCCGAGCCCCCCAGCTCCCTGCTGCCTCTCCCGCTCTGTTTTCGCCCCTCGCTCACGCCTCGAGGCCATAGCCACGACGACGACGAAGACCAAAGACCGCCGTCCGCCGTCGCCAGACCCACCTTCCCGAGCTGCCTCCGACCCCGAAGTTCCCACCGTGAGCCTCCCCAAGCTCCCCTATCTCTCCCCATGCGGTTTATTTCATTTTTCTTGGCTTCTAGATGCCTCGCCATGAGCTCATGCAAGCCTTGGCCACCGCCATGGCGACCACCGCTGCTACTCATTGCTTTCGGCCAGACGTCGGCATGGCCGAGACCCCTTCTTCCCTCTCCATCGGTGTGCCCTCGGTTGTCCATTTGGTGAGCCAGAGACCCCTAACCAAGCTCCTCGATGAGTCCACTGCCACCGCCATGGCGCTGCGGCACGGTAGCATTGTTCCGCCGGCCACCCCTTGTTCTCTCTCCCTGATCTATTTCGCCGTTCATTTCAAATCCGACGGCCCACGAGACCGATACCCCTTTCATGGTGGTTTTTTTGCTAAAGAGCCCTCCTGTTTTCGTGTAATAGAACCCACACCCAAAGCGCATTCCCCTATTACGCATTCTTGTTTTGAAAGCGTAAAGTTCATCGGCTTAAGTCAAAAGTACGCTTTCAGATTTACTGAAATGCCATTTGAACTGCTTTCGCTTATAAAATTGTCGTTTTAGCTCTCAATTGATCCATTCAAATCGCGTTAGCTTCGTAATGTCATAAGCTACATGTTAGAACTACTGTTAGTCAAGTTTGGAACTTTTTAATTTCATGATTAGATTTAATTAAATATATGGCTATAGGAAAACCCGCTTAAATCATAACTTTCGCATTTTAGCTCCGTTTTTAAGTGAACTTCGCGTTGACGTGATCGTGGCGAGACGTAGAATATGTTTACAAATATTTTATCTTGTTTTCAATACTGTTGGTGTACTGTTCTAATGATAGGAATGTTTGCTTTGCATGAATGCTTTTGGAATGTTGTATGTTGCCGTGTTGGTCGTGCGTTTGATTTGTGAGGAAAACGTTGGAGACCAAGAACTCTTCGACGACCAGCAGGACCAAAGACGAGTTTGTGAACCAAGGCAAGTATAACATGGGCCTTCCTTGATGTCCTAATTCACTTTAATCAATTACTCATTTGCATGTGTCTAATTTTGATACCCGTAAGGACATCCTAGTGATTGTTTATCCTGCTCCTTGTCTCCTATGGGTTAAATGCATATGGGTAGATTGCTAGTGCTCTAACCGAACTTGATATACCTGTTGATGAATGATACTATGGAACAAAGTGAGTAACATGATTTATAACAACTGCTTCCATAGGGCGAAAGTGCAAATGACCTTTGTTCATGTTGCTCCCGGCCCTCCATAAGGACTTATCTGTCGGCAAAAAGCTGGGACCGACAAAGGCAACCGGGAGAGTCATATGGCTCGACTTTAGCTCAAGAATAGGACCTTTTCTAGCTAGTTAGAGGTTACCTTTTTGGCGCAAATGGGGCTTGCCACGTTGGGTATAGGGTTGCCTCTGTTTCTATGTGTATAGCCGCTGATGGATATGTGCCATAGGAAATGGGGTTCCTACATCTGTCTGCCAAGGAAACCTAGCGGCCCTAACTTGTTAGGGAAACCTATGAAATGGCTTCATTGTGTACCCCGCCTGCTCACCTTGGAAGTGACATGGGAGTAATTAACTTTCGGGCATATAGGGGGTCACGACTCATGGTGAATGTGCACCACCTCTCTCCAGAGGGTAACAAATCATTATAACAACCGTGCTCCACGATTCTGGCGAAAGCGTCTTAAAACTCACGGTAATAACCGGATACTTGATGATGATCTTATAAAGTTGTTTAGTGATGATATATGGTACATATGACTCCGATATATGTTCTTATGGGAATTAAATGGGAGCTTAAGCATAACTTGATAATACTTGAGAATAAAAGCTTGACCTAATAAAAATGCTAACTGCAGTAAATCAGAGTCTAACCTTTTGAGCTTCATAACCCCATGTTAGCTTGCTAAGTATGGAATGTACTTACACTTGTTTATTTTCTTTACTTGGATAAAAATCCCGGATGGGTAACAGATGACAACGGGTATGAGGATTTCCCGGAGGATTATTAGGCTTGTGGTCAACCAGTTGACCTTCCCTATGATGACGGCCACGAGAGTTTTATTATCTTTTTATTATTCCGCTGTGATGTATAAGACTAAGTTTTATTATAACTCTGATGTATGAGACACCGTGATGATACTTTATGTAATTTGTCAGCTTGTGTGTGTGATTGATTCCTGGGCACACACGAGTTTTGTGCATTCAATTTTATCCTTAAAATTGGGTGTGACAACAATATGACAAGCATGCCACCCATTTGAAGAAGTGCATTCGTAGGACAGAGGAGGCCGAGAACCAAATAAGAAACCTGCAAGTGCAGCTTGCGGATGCTAAGGCGCAGGCAGCTAGAGCGGAGAGCCGTGAGGCTACAACAATTGAAGCCTTCAAACAGGCCAAAGACCGCCACACTCAGCAATTGAAGAATATCTACCTTGTCACTAGGGCCAAGAGAAGGACCCTTGTTATGGAAGGGAGAGAATGCCCAATACTAGATGGAATCCCAGTTGCAACCATGGAAGAAATCTAAGGGAAGATTGTGGACACGCCGCCCGCGCCTCCACCAACCGAGGCCTCCCATGGAATTTCCGAGACAGGGTCAGTCGATGGAGAAGAGATTCTCCCACTGACTCAGGCACCACCAGGAGATGGCATCTGCCCTCCTTCCATCCTCCCAGAAGATTTCTCAAGCTACGAAGAATGATCTAAGTGGAGACATGGGCCCCTCAAGAACCCTCATTGTAGTGTTTATTATTTCTACCTATAATATAATCCCACATGGTGTTGTGCTTTGAGTTTAGTGATGTTGGTTGTTTGAATTCCACTTGAGCAAACATTTCTCTATGCCAATATACCATTTCTCTACACCAATATACCAGCGATTTTATTTAGTGGCCTAAAATAGGTATTGTGTAATGGATGCCAAACTCTATCGCCCTTACATAACATCATACTAGAAAATAAATATTAGCTTCTATTGAGATATTTTTTAGTACAACATATTGCCCTAAGATTTGATATATAGCAAGAAGATTATCTTCCACAACATGGTAGTGGAAAAAATTAATTAGCTATAGCTTTCATTGAGATACTTTCGAGTAACACGTATACATAATCCCATGGTTCGATATATCCAGCATCACCCGCAGCGAAGCGCGGGTACAGTGGCCAGTAATATATGATTTTGCACTGCCTTTGAGCCCTTGGCCGAAGAAGCAATCGCCACGCCACGCCACGCGTGTCAGTTTTCCAGTGAAAAGCAGAAGCAGGAACAGCCGAACAGCAGCTGGAGAATCAGGGGTCTCTACTCGTCTTCCTTTCCTTGGCTTGGCTCCGCCGTACCCCCGTCCCGCGTCAGATCGCATCCCTCCTCCATGGCGGCGCTCAGCCTCCGCCAGAAGCAGCTCGGTAAGCCTCGCCTCCCGGAGGGACTCCACCTTCGCCTTGGCTTCCGGATCGATTGATCCCCTCCTGCCCGCTCTTCCTTGCTAAGTTTTTGATTGGATCGCTCCCAGATCTGATCGTGCGGATGCTGCACCTCAACCAGCCGCCGCCGCCGCCGCCCGGCACGGCCGCGGAGCAAGAAGAGGAGGTGTACAAGATCCTGGTGCTGGACACCTTCTGCCTCTCGCTGCTCTCGCCGCTGCTCCGCGTCGCCGACCTCCGCAAGCACGGCGTCACCCTCTACTTCCCCATCGACAAGCCGCGCCAGCAGGTCGCCGACGCCCCCGCCGTCTACTTCCTCCGCCCCACCCAAGCCAACGCCGACCGCGTCGCCGCAGACGCCGCCGCCTCGCTCTACGCATCCTTCCACCTCAACTTCTCCTCCGCACTCCCGCGCCCGCTCCTCGACCGCCTCGCCGCCGCCACCGCCGCCTCCGGCTCTGCGCACCGCGTCGCCCGCCTCGCCGACCAGTACCTCGACTTCGTCTCTCTCGAGGACAACCTCTTCTCCCTCGCCCACCCGCGCTCCTACGTCGCCCTCAACGACCCCAAAGCGGCCGACGCCGACATCGAGGCCCTCGTCGACGCCATCGCGCTCGGTCTCTTCTGCGTCGCGGCCACGCTCGGCACCGTGCCCGTCATCAGGTGCCCCCGCGGAGGCCCCGCCGAGATGGTCGCCGCCGCCCTCGACGCCCGCCTCCGGGATCACCTCCTCGCCAAGCCCAACCTCTTCACCGAGGCCTCAGCCTCTGTCGCCTCCTTCCAGCGCCCCGTGCTCTGCCTCCTCGACAGGAACTTCGACCTCTCCGTGGGGATACAGCACGATTGGAGCTACCGCCCCTTGGTCCATGACGTCCTCGGCCTCAAGCTCAACAAGCTCAAGATGCCCGCAGACAAGTCTGGCCCGGCCAAGACCTACGATCTCGATGACTCCGATGCCTTCTGGGTGGCGAACAGCTGGTCACCGTTCCCCAGGGTGGCCGAGGAGATCGAGTCACAGCTCGCCAAGTACAAGCAGGATGTCGACGAGGTGAACCAGCGCACCGGTGGCAGCAAGGATGGGATCGAGTTCGATGGCACAGATCTCATTGGCAACACCAAGCACCTCATGAATGCCGTGAGCTCGCTCCCAGAGCTCACAGAACGCAAGAAGATGATTGACAAGCACACCAATATCGCAACCGCGTTGCTTGGGCACATCAAGGAGAGATCGCTGGATGGATACTGTGACTGCGAGAACGACATGCTCACCAAGGGCACCGTGGACAGGAGCGCGCTGCTGGGCCTCCTCCGAGGGAAGGGCACCAAGGAGGACAAGCTCCGTATGGCTGTGACCTACCTCCTCTCTTTTGAGTCGCCTGTCGCGTCCGAGCTGGAGCAGGTCGAGGCGGCGTTGCGTGAGGCAGAAGTGGACATGTCCGCGTTTCAGTATGTCAAGAGGGTAAAGTCACTGAACACGCAGTTTAGTGCCTCCTCAAACACAGCAACCAGGAGCAACATTGTTGATTGGGCAGAGAAGCTGTATGGGCAGTCCATTAGCGTGGTGACGGCAGGGGTAAAGAATCTTCTGTCCACTGGGAGGCAGCTTGCATTGACAAGGACGGTTGAAGCTCTCATGGAAGGGAAGCCGAATCCGGAGGTGGACAGCTATCTGCTGTTTGATCCACGGTCCCCTAGATCGGGAAGTGGTGGGCAGTTCAAAGGGCCATTCAGAGAAGCAATTGTCTTCATGATTGGTGGTGGGAATTACATTGAGTACAGGAGCTTGATGGAGCTGGCAGAATGCTCGCAGCCTTCAAAGCATGTCATATACGGTGCAACCGAGATTGTCAATGGGGTGGAGTTTATCGAGCAACTCTCAGAATTGGGGCAGAAAGCAGGGCTGGGTGGTGGTGTCAACAACCCTCCACAGCTACAGTAGCGGGCTCTTTCCTTGCATCCCAGGCCTTTTTTATGTTAAAACCTTAGACTGAAATTCAACGGTAGTGAAATTCGCCAAACTGAGACCGCCTTGGATAAGTTATCAATATATAGCTTTTCTTTCATATATCCAATGAACCTTGTCAGATGATCATCAATTTCCTTCTCTGGTTTTTGTTTGCTCAGAATATGTTAGTAGTGTAATCTGGTTTGCAATCTTTTGCACTGGTTACAGTTAGTGCACAGCTAGTAAGTGAACTCAGGTTCAGAGGAGCTTGTAAATCCAGTTAAAATGAATCCATGCTCTGCAGGGTAGATTTATTTGATGAACCTGTTTGACATAGTGCAAAGAGTTTTGTGGCGTGATTTTCCTTATGGTTTGTTCATCTGGTAGTTGTATTGCAGTCTTGGATGACGACTGCCCAAGACCCAACTCTTGGTTTCTTGTCACTGAAAATTTGGTTTTCATTTTATTAAATTTGATTTTCATTTTATTTCTGTTCATCTGGTAGTTGTATTGTAGTCTTGGATGAGGACTGCCCAAAACCCAACTCTTGGTTTCTTGTCACTGAAAATTTGGTTTTCATTTTATTTCACCAGCTGCTGGTTTCTGATGTCCACTTAGCAACATGTACCGTTCATTAGGTCCTTCCGGCAGCTGGACAGGGATCCAAACGCGACCACTGTTAAAACTACTTGCAGTTGCAGTGAGTTGAGGCAAGCGCGAGCAAAGGATCTACAAGTTTTGCCTGGTGATGATAATAGCGTGGATATGAGCCACCGCAAGCAGTGTGTAATGTACCCAGACGAACCAATCCAAACAGCTCCAGATGAACAAATCCAAACAGTCCCTAGCAGGGGCTGAATTGCATGGTTCCAACACAACATCGATACTGCATAGAGGAAACCCAAACAACTACCTCACATTCTGGACAACTGCCCAACTCAAAACTAATAAAATTCTACAAATTTGGTCAAATCCAGATTGGTTTGGACACAACATCACCAGCCCCTGTCCTGAAATACTCCAACAAATCTGGTCGGCTCCCTTTTATATTTCAGGATGAAAAGAGCAGTATTTAAAGCTTTTTAAACAAAAAATGATCCAACACATCTGACGCCGCCCCAAGTTGATGTTACAATTCTTCAGCACAAAATACCATACAGGTTATTGCATCGTGTAATCTATTCACAAGACAAACCATACATCTGTGAGTCTCAACAGAGTTATAAGAAGCTTATTTCTCTCTAATCACCACAACATGTGAAAACAGAGCTAACCAGTTCTTGACTCTGGGTTCCTATGGAAGTAGTCACTGCCATGACCATGACAAACGAATCCGACAGCTACCAAGTCATAACTAACCTACAGAATTAGCATAAAGCATAAATAAAAGCAAGCAGAACTTAGAAACAGAAGCCTTTGCTTTCAGTAACCCCTGTGCTGCTCAACTCTACATCTTAACATGCATAGAAGTAGAATAGTCAGACAGTTACAATTCAAACTCAAGATCAGATCAAAATCTCTACCAAAGCTCGACCATAAACCACTGAGATCAAACCCAAGCTCTCCCCACCAAAGAAACTGATTAACCGACGTTAACACGAGAGAGTCAAACCTCATCAGGGCTGCACTGCAACTACCAAATTAGGATGATCTTCATGCGGAACCAAGGAGAGAGAGAAAAAAAAGGCTAGCATCATATCAAGCAATGGTGACATACTAGCATCCTATCCTTCCATGGGGATCTGGGGGCCAAAAAATGAAGAAAAAAAGATCAAGCTAAAGCAGTCAACCTTCAATTCCAACAGAGATAATATGGTTACTCATATTCCATGTTAAGATAGAACGCTTTTGAAAATAAGCAAGAACTCAGAACTGATCAACTTAAAAGATCCTAGCATTCACATAGTTACCCCTGGAAATGAAAGAATGAAAATATAACCTTCCAAAGGTGAACATGAATCTATATACTATATGACAATGAGCTAGCGCTTGAATTTCATCATGGTTGCACTGCTGAGTTAGCACATGGGGAACAAGCAGGCCCATGGAATTTTCGGATAAACAGATAGAAGTTCGTGGTTCATCTCCAAAGAAGAACAGGACATTGAAAGGTTTCTGATGATGGAAGTATCAAGTATTGAAGAATAAACAGAAATGAAGTATGCAATGTGAACTGCGAGCTCAAAAGCCATACATGCATCATGTGATGCAATTCAAACTCAAGTTATTATAGACACCAGTCCTTTCATATCCATCCAATCCTCTTAGTCCTATCAAGTAAATGTGACAGGCAACATTGTATCTTCCCCTTCCCTAGTAAGCAGTAAACAAACATGGAGTAGAAACTTTACAGAGACACAGGTACTTAATAAGACGAGCAGACAAAATCTGAGGGGCTGCAGACCAAGCAAGTATACTGACCATGATCCTTATGATGCGTACTGCGGTGCCCGTGCTGCCATGCTAGCAACCTTAGCCTGCTGCTGCGCGCTATGCACCTTGGCAGATAGGGCGCGGTGGAAGAACTGCTCGCGCGACAGTGCACGCACGCTCCTGAGGTAGCCGTCAAAGGGCACAGATCCTTCCTGGATTGCCTTGTCGAGCGCGTAGATGGTATCCTCGAGCGCCAAATCTGCCGCTGTGCACTCGATCATCTGCCTTGACAGCACATCCACGGGCTCGATGGCGTCCTCGGTGGCTTGGTTGCCGCCTCTCCTGTTGTTGTCCCTGACCCAGGCCTCCATGACATCGGTGGCCATCATGACGTCCTGCAGGTGGCGCTCGAGCGCTTCCTTCTCCTCCCCCATCTTGCGCACCCCTTGAGCGACGATGTCACCCCTGTGCCGCAGCTCGGCCTGGACGGCGAAGAGGGCATCGACCTCGGCCTCCCGCGCGGTCCGCAGTGCCACGGCGTCGGCGTAGGCCATGTCGACGAGCTTGGCGACGGCGTTGCGCTTGAAGACCTCGGCAGGGTCCTCGGTGGGGGGCGGGCGGGGGGCGAGTTGGGGCGACGCCGGGAAGCCCCCAAGCCTGTAGGAGGGGGAGGGGGAGGGGGATGGGGCGACCTGTGGTGGCGGGGTCGGCGTCGATGAGGGATTCGGTGGCGGAGCGGCGGCAGGAGAATTCTTGGTGAAGAGGGGCGGGTCGAGGCCGAATAGGTGGGAGAGGGATCGGACGAGGTCGACGAGGTTGGAGGAGGGGAAGACCCAGGAGCGGAGGTAGGGCGCGTTGGCGACGAGGCCGGAGCTGTCGACAAGCCTGTGGTGGGGCTTGATGACCATGTCTCGGGTCGGGGAGAGGAAGACGAGCGGCGGGGAGCGCGGGTAGGGCTCTGGCAGCCAGATGACGGCTGGGAGGTTGTAGGAGGCGCCGGCGTGGTGGATGGGGATTGTGCCGTCGGCCTGGAGGAGGTGAGCGGCACGGCCGTCGTTGTGGGTGAAGAGGGCGGCCTTGGGGTGGAGGGAGGGGAAGGCCTCGGCCAGCGCCACCAGGTGGTTGCGGATCAGCCACTTGACGTCCTCGGCGTACGGCAGCGCGGACGGCCCCCGCTGGGAGAGCGCCGTGTTGAGGAACTGCTGCGCGTACTGCGCGCCGCCGGCGGAGGAAGGGGGCGGCGGCGAACGAGCCATCGGATCCGAGGGCGAAACCGAGCTAGGGTTTCGATTCCGATTTGTATGTCGTCGAACAACTGTTTGTGGGGGCTGCTGGGGTGGGGGTGGGGAGGGGGAGGGGGAGTTTTCTTTCCTTGTCGTTCCTTGCTGCGCTGGGGACGCCGCCGCTGGGTTGGTTGGTTGGGTATCCCTTCTTCTCCCTTCCTTGAGACGGAGACGGAGACGGAGACGGAGGGAGTTGGGTGGAGAGGGACGGACGACGGAAGGGAAGGAATCGGCGACGGCCAACCAGCAAACTGCAAGCAAGCAAACTTGTTTTTCTTTCTTTTTCAACAAAAAATAATGTTCCCGAGTAATAATTGTAGTATTATCTTTTGATGCTTTTATATTTATACAAAAAAAACAATCAAAGGTTATTTCTACGTATTTCAGTTAAAAAAACTACCACTATTTATACTTAGTAATTAATAAAATATATATTACTAAGTTATTGCGAATTTTACACTGTAATAAAAACCATCCTTTTCTCTCTCCGCGTCTGCGTGTCAATTTGGCTTACCGCGTAGGCTTTCGCATAGGCACAGCGTCCCAATTTGGCTCACCTCCTTCCTTAGCCTCCAAGGAACTGAAACTGGAACTGAAATTTCTGACAGCTTTAACAACTGCTTCCTCCATACATACACCCTGCATTTGCAATTTGCATTGCCATTTATTCTTCCAAAAATTTGCCAACGCACACACAAGAGTATCAATCCAATTCAAGGATGCATCTTTGATGTGTATATTTGCCTCCTCAACCATGGCAAGTCAATCAACTATGGATAACATGCTTCTCCCTGAATGAAGCATGCATGTGTTACTACTACTATAGTACTGTTACTGTACTACGGAGTACAAAGCAAAGCAAAACAATGGAATGCCACCAGCCAATCGTTGATTCAATCAACAATCTTTCAGAGCCTCTCCTCTCCTCTCCTACGTGGCTACATCTACAATCCCGTTGGTTGGTTCAGACTTCAGAGGCATCCCTCTCTAACTATATGCTCTCTCCAGGACCAGGTGGTAGCTCTGCCACCTTTGGGGGAGCACCCAGCACTCGCTCCATGTCAAACCGCACCTCAATGTTGCGCATGCTGTACCCAACGATCATCAACCAGAACAGCAGGTTGGCCAGCTGATTTGCACTTGTTTCCGAGACTGCTGTCTGCACACACACACACACACACACAAGTTCAAGTTCAAATCAAACAAAAGCACTCACTCACTCTTCAGCCATGCAGCTAAGGTAAGCATACGATTCCCTCACCTTCATCTGCTCTGGGTCAGACACCGCCAAGAGACGTTTTATGAACGCATTCATGGCAAAGACGACATCCTCCCCAGCAGTACTCGTGAGTTCCTGAAACAGCTTCCCTTTGTCAGACTCAGATCCAACATTGCCAACCACCAGCACAGGTCTTCCTCATCAAATTCTCTGCTACCTTCTTTAGGATGTAAATCAAAAGCAACGTCTTGTAACAGTCTACGAACATATAAGTACCTTTAAATTCTGAGGCTCTAGACTCTTCAGATATTCCAACAGCTCATTACTTCCTTGCGACGATTTCCTAGCAACTTGACGGCTCAGCTCATCGATTTCTGCTTCAAGCAATTCTATATATTTTACAGCATCGATTTTCTCAGGTCCAGTAGCCTTATTCCAACGGATAACTTCCCCGGTTACCTTTTTCTGGGTTCCAGGGGCATAATCCGGCGAATCCTACAAGCACATCACATGCATATTACTAAACTCTATGTATGATACCAAATACATAGAATTATATAGAGCCCCCTGGAGGTCCATCTGCAGATTTATTACTTCATGAGGACAAACACTGAAAAGCCATGCCGTGTGTTGTTAAAAAATCAAGACATCAGAAGTCTCCCAAAATGGTCAAACACCAAAAACCAAAAAACATGGGTTGGAGGTGTGATTCTTGGAGTTGAGTAAGACGCATAATACATGGACTGGTAAATCAGGGTTACCAGCATATCTTCTTCTTTATTTTTGTAAGATTGAAGAGAGATTAACAAGTAAGAAGTGCAAAGGATTAGAACAAAAGCAAAGTATGAACTTGGTCCAGCACAAGCCACGCAATCATGCGGCATGCCGAGGTTCATTTTACAGAACAATCTAACTCCAGGATCTTTTTAGCGAGACACAAACACCAGCAACTATGATAGAGTACTTGAGTTCAATTTTCTTTTAAACAATATTATGAAGTCTTCCTTTGTTTCCCAATAGTCATGTAGCAGGAACTCATGTAGAAAGCATACTTCATATGCAAAGAGCTTGAATGAATAACATAACAATAGACTGAAGATTGCTTTACTCCCTTTGAATGTATACTCACCAATATTAAATGCATGTTATCATGCAAAATAATATATACAACAAAGAGAGCTGAATACAGAACAGGATGAGCCATTCAGTTTTCAACTAAAGTGCAACCAGAATAGTTCATATTTATTACCCAGTCAGTTATTCCAAGGAGATTTCTAGCTAAGGCACTATTGAAAAACAACAAACTTAAAGTTCCAACTTTCTCAGTCATATTAGTTACATACTACAACACCCCGGCGGTCCTTAAACTTGTCCCATGGTGTCATTTAGGTCACTGAGCTATTAAAATACACATCTAGCCCTAAACTTACTAAGTGTGTCGTCCAAGGTCCGAATCTCTCTAATAATCTTTTCCACACATATGTGGCATACCAGCATGGAAAACGACATGTGGGATCAGCTGGTCATGTTAGCAATCCCATGTAGACACGACATAGTCATTAGAGAGGTATGGACTTTGGTTGTACAACTAGTAAGCTTAGGGACCTTATAACCTGCATTTTAACAGTTTACTGACCTAGATGATACTGCAAGGCAAGTTTAAGGACCGCCCGTGAACTACTAAGGGGCACATGTACATTGTAATCATAAACAGATCAGGTGTCAGCATGGCGGTCATTCAATCATATATGCCTATTACAAGTATACGGCAACAAAGTTGGACAACTACCTTTTCTTCTTTTGGTTCCGGAAGAGCAATCTGCTCCAAACTCTGTTGCAATTCCAGGCGGTACTGTGCATTCCTAAACATGTATCCAGTCATTAGGACACTGTACATAAGCTGAGCCAGATTTTCAGCAACCTGTGTTGATAAAAGACGATCAAACATACAATATAGCAACAATCAAAAGACGCAATGTCATGTAAAATGTAAATTTGCCATTGGGAAGACAGCCATAGGAATTGGAGGTTCTCAATACCGTTGAGACAGTTACAGCGAAAAACTGTGGTGGTAAAGTGCCCATCATATTAGTCACCGTTTGGCGCATGGCCTCGACAACCTTTTTGAGAAAAAAAATGGAGAGTTGTTAGCGTTATTTTAAAAGTCACGGCTGATATACACACCTAATAAAAATATGATACACACAACCGGGGGAGAGAGAATAATTAAAAATGAAGATATGAAAACGCACCTGTGCTGGAGCTCTTTTTATGAAGAGCTCCATAAACTCTGGCTGGACATTTTTGACGTATTCCAGGAGAATATCCCTCCTGTTCTTGGGCTGTTAGGGAAGGAAACAGCCCATAAGCATGACTGCTTGTTGTTGGCACCACATAAACAGGTGAGGAATTTGCAATAGATAAAAATTTCACCCATCTGCTCCTCATCTAGTGGAATGTGAAATGTGTAGACATACGTGCTGGAAGTATATCTAAAAATATTGGTGAGATTAGAAGACACCGGTCCCATCAAACTGAAGCACTGTATACTGTTTAAAAATACTGGTGGCGCTGTATCGATAGAGTAAAAAGCTAAGGTCAAAAAAAATGAGAGAGGAGGAAGTGACAGGTGAGGCGACCATACGAACCAGTCCGTTGTTGGTTGGGTTTGCCGTGGCGTCGCCTCCAGAGCCAGAGCCAGGGGAGGCGGCACCGTTGGGCTGCTCGGCGGCGCACACGAGGCGGATGCGGTGTCGAGGCCGTAGGGGGAAGGAAGCGCGCGAGGAAGAGGCGAAGCAGCGGGATGGCGGAGGCAGAAGCCTCCTACAAGTAGTAGTAGAGGAGGGAAGCAGGAGGAGCGACGGGGACATGGCGGCGGCGGCGGCGGAGAGGGAGTGAATCAGATTGGGGAGAAGAGAAGGCCCGAAGAGGAAAACCCAACACCAACGGAGGAGGAGCGGAGCGGATACGGCAGGCAGCAGAACAGCAGCTTCGCCTATGAAGCCTTTCAACCGCACATCCATGGATGGATGGCCAATTCATTTCTTAAATTTTTTCCTGTTCTATTCTACTCTGACTGCTGTATGTCCGTTATATCTCAATAGAAAGCAGGAGCATAGCTGGTGCGTTGCCGCGGAAATCGCCCATGATTTGAAAAATACAAAGAGAAAAATAATTATACATTAATGTTAGTGGATGTTAGGGCACGCTAGCTAGCGTGGACAACTTAAAAATATAAAGTTTGTTAAGGGTGTGTTTAGTTCCTTCCAAATTCCAAATTTTGACACTATGCAAAAAGAAGATTTCCCATCACATCAAACTTGCGGTACATGCATGGAGTATTAAATGTTAACGAAATCAAAAATTAATTGCACAGTTTAGTTGTACTTTGCAAGACGAACGTTTTAAGCCTAATTAGTCAACGATTGGACAATTATTACCAAATACAAACGAAATGCTACAGTGCGCTATAATAGTATAAAGTGATTTCGGCGACGCTGATTCCGCTGAACTAAACATGGCCTAAGCTCCTTTTAGAAGAAGGGGGAGCAATGCACGCTAGCGTGGACAACTTAAAAACATAAAGTTTCCTAAGCTCCTTTTAGAAAAAAGGGGGAGCAAAATCCATGGATGGAACACCCCCCATCCACCCACCCACCCACTAGGAATTAAGATAATAACTAGAATGATATCCCAATTTTTCACCCTGGGAAAAGTCCAAGATCTAGAGTTTCCAAATTAGCCCTAAATGTGCTCGTTGATGAATGGACAGCCAATTCGTTTCATAAAATGTTGGGTGATTTTTTTTTAATATTTCTTCGAAAACACATATACATGAAAGATTAGATCGACGTATCTCGCGATTTATGTTTTGTTCATAGATGGATGGCAAGACCGCAAGATAGTTGCCTCTTCTCGCTGTTTTCAGTGGTGCCTTCACTTTTTGAGCCTGTACTCCTAGCATACAAGTTGTAGTATCTGTACTCTACACAATACACTCACACCACCACACACACAGCACACCCCTAGAAGCTACAAACGGTGCCTCCACTTTTTGTTTCTTAAATGTTGCATGCTTTTTTCTTTTAAATAGGATTGACGCCTCATCCATGTAGTGGCGTAGCATGAAGCAAAACGTAGCGGGGCATTTTACATGAAACTATGAACTAGCGACCCATCTCAAATTTTATCGAAAGTAATAACATATAGCTTGATTGCCATTGGCAACAAATAACTCAGAAGCAAAAACAGAATGAAGAAGAGGGTCTAGGAGCATGGCTGCACGGGGCCATGGGATGCCAAAGAGCATGGAGTATTGGCCGCGGTGGTCTGAGAGCGTGGGGCTACAGAGGCCGGAGAGAATCGACAGTATTGGGGTCACAGGTCTGGTGTAGTGACAACAATAAATGGATCAGCCGCGGGAGGCAAGCTACCTCGCCGGATGTGCCTTCTCACTAACTGTACTACTCAGACCTGAGTATTGAAGTAGTACTAGCAGCCATCAAATCGGCAAATCATATGGCTTTGGATGTCGGTACCATGCCACCTCTTTGTAAAACTGTCCATGACAAGGGGGGCGTAGCCCTCTATGGCCCCAACGAGGCTCCACCAGTGCATCCATGGATGGATGGCCATAGGATCAGCCGCGGGAGGCAAGCTACCTCGTCAGATGTGCCTTCTCACTAACTGTACTACTCAGACCTGAGTATTGAAGTAGTACTAGCAACCATCAAAATCGGCAAATCATATGGCTTTGGATGTCGATACCATGCCACCTCTTTGTAAAACTATCCATGACAAGGGGGTGTAGCCCTCTATGGCCCCAACGAGGCTCCACCAGTGCATCCATGGATGGACGGTCAAGATGGCTGCCTCTTCTTGACATTTCCAAGAATTGCCCACATTTTCGTTTCTTGTATGCATTTTCCAAATATGGTGTGATTTCTCAAAAACATAATACGTCACATACGCTCACATATGCAATGTTGTTCATATTTTGGATAGATCATTCATCCTACTTTTATGCAATGTAGTCTGCTTCGCTTGCCGCGTGAGGGTTTGATGTGTGGATGCAACAACTGAGTACAAGGAAAAGGAAGCATGTGCTCCATTGTAGCATAAAAAAAGTTTAAACAGGCTTTTAAGTTAATCAAATCATGTTAATCATCTCTAAAAGCTTTTTTCATTGTAGATTGAGTTCTCTTAGAAGCCATTCTCTCTCCTTATACATCTTTTTTAATTAAGAGCCTATACACTGAAAAAATACTGACGTCTAAAAAAAATGAGCTAGCAAGTTAACATATATTTTACCACGTCAACTTAAGGGTAGCACAAGATATAAACACCTCAATGATTTATTGTAACACCCCTGATGTTACGAGCTCATTTAGCACCGCGATTTAGGCCTAAGTCAAAATTTTGAAACGAGTTGTCGGATACCATAAAAAGGGGTACCCTAAGCAGAAACCGAAAAAATTACTTAGACCTTGTAAATATCGAAGCCAAGAGACAACCACGAGGCCTCGGCCGATTCTCCGATTCGCCCGAGGCCCACGCCGCAAGGCCTCGGACGAGGTACCAACTCTCCGCCTCGTCCGAGGCCCCACCCCGCAAGGCCTCGGACGAGGTACCGATTCTCCGCCTCGCCCGAGGCCCCGCCCGAAAGGCCTCGGACGAGGTGCCGATTCTCCGTCTCGCTCGAGGCCAGCTCGGCATCAACCCCGCCACCGCTTTGACCGACTTCTCTGACAGGACGTCACATCCAACTAAAGCGTTCAACCACTCCCACAACGTCAGCCGCACGACGGCACAGTGCAGCGAAGTGACCGACGAGACGGAAGTCACATCAATGCCCTGCCATCCGGGACAGGACGAGGCGGGGGTTACCGGCCGCTGTGCTCGACACTGTGCCCACGACTGACGCCCGTACTGCACTATGCTGTCTAACCCCTGCTCCAAGGACAGCACAGCGTGGAGAGTCAAGTCCAGGTTCCTGTAGCCTCGGAATCAACGAATAAGACCAACTGCTCCCTCCGAGCCTCGGCTATCCGCTCCCGGGTTTCCTGTAGCCTCGAGACTTGTGCCTACCGAGCCCCCCACGATGGTTCGGCCTCTGCATCGACTGGGCCTCGGCTGTCTACGTTATCTGCACTCTGGGACCGGCATGTCACCCGCAGAACGCGCCATACCCTGTGTCAGGCTGCAGGAGCCCACACGTCGCGCACAAAGCCTAGCTCCTGTAGCCTCGGAATCAGCACACCCGTGCCATCGCATCAACCCGCCTCAGCACTCCGCACCAGTCAAACCTACAGTAACCAGCTCGCCTCCGACAGAAGAAGGCGCGCCTACCACCATGGGACCGGGCATGACCGGCGCGTCACTCCAGTGCATCGAGGACAAGACCGCTCCACCGACCATACCGCCACAGTGACAAGCTACAGGGCTCGGACATGCCGCCTTTGCCAAAAAGAGCACCACATAGCAAACACATGTACCGCCCTTGTACCTCCCTTTGACTATAAAAGGTAGTAACCGGGGCCGCCCCTAGGGGGACGAACAGACACACACTCATGGAGACATCACTCAGATAGACACACGTGCAAGCAACGAGTAACACTCTGTAATACGCACGCTCCTCACTGCAAGAGATCAACGTCTCAAGCAACCCACACCGCTCCACGCAGAGACCTAGGATTAACTCCCTCTCTCGCCCTACTTGTAAACCCCTACTACGAGCACCTCGGTGCAAGGAATACAAGATCGCTCTCCTAGACTGGACGTATGGCACCTATTGCCTGAACTAGTATAAACCTTGTGTCTCTTTGCATCACCATCCGGGATAGGGACACGCAGTACATTTTCACTCGTTGGTTGAGGACCCACCGGTCCAAAACACCGATAGTTGGTGCGCCAGGTAGGGGCATACTACGTGTTAACTTAATCATCCCAACAAGTCTCGGATGGCAGACCCCGTACGACCACTGCGTCTCGACACGGTGATCTGGTTCGGGAGCCTAGAGTTCATGTCTCTAGGATACGAGTACGACCTAGTACTCCTCCCATCTAGAGCCCCGTTGGCCGACGACGGCATCACGCACTAGCAGCCCAGGCGCAGGCGGCGCCCGGGCCGCCGCTCTCATCGCGCTCGCCAGGCACGACACGAGCGGAACCACCCCAACACCGCGCAAGTTCAGGGCAACGCTCCGTGCCCCACCAGTTTCCCACACCCGACTGTTGGCGTAGAGTCCCTGGCTGGGGACCTATCTAGCTTAAGCCTGGGCAAGGGAAGGACGCCGGTGGCGCGCAGCGACGCCCTGCCATCAAGCTCTGGCCCGCCACCTCCTGAGGAATCGACTCCGGTAGAGCGGAACCCGGCGATGGCACCATCCCCGTACCCCTTCGGGTTGAGCAATGCCGCCGCCTATGCTTCCGCCTACGCTTCCGCTCACGCGGAGCCCTCAGGACGCCACCAACGATTCACCCTCGACCTCTTCGCCACAACCTCGACCCACACCCACGCTGACTCCTCGGAGGAGGACGAGGCATGGGCTAGAGCGGACTTCTCCGGGCTTTGCGACCTTGAAGCCATGCACCGCTTCATGGCCACGAGCGACTACTGCTTTGGCTACTCCGACTCTGATGACGAAGGCACTTACCATCCCACTCGAGAGTGCTTCGTTGTCGAGCTCGGGATGCCGAGAGCGAGCGATGAAGATGAAGGGGTAGGCAATCACTCCCTGTCCCGCGCGGGGGCAGGCGACGCCACACCTTCGTGCGTCGAACCCCCGGCAACGCGGAACGAGAACCCCGCCCACGAGGAACTTCAATGCCTTGAGTTGGAGCAGCTCTGTGAGCTTCAGGCCAAGGTCGA